ATATGACCTTGAGATATGCATACCATGACGTACTGATTGGCCCAACAAATCAATTCACCGACACAATAATATTTTGCCGAAATCCAATTTGTATTCATTGAAAATCAATTACTTATATGTACTTAAAAAAATAATTTTTTTACTGTTTTAAATTTGTATAAATCACGAACATTGTTCAAGTCAACTACCAAATTATATTTAATTCAAAATGAGCTTCTGTTTTCTAAATGAAAATGAAACATTATTGCGTCCAAGTACTCCAAAATACAAATCGTATCATTTTGTAACCTAAAATCATATTTTAAAACGTCATTAAAAAAAAAAAAAAATGAACTATTATAATATGTCATAAATGCTTTATCTTTCTTTTGCAAATGATAACCTTTCTTCTAATTTTCTATATAATTGTCAATACATTTATAATAGTGGTTAGAATCTCTTATTCTATCAACTCATCGGTACATAAATTTATCCGCAACTAAAAGTTGACTATCACGCTCAGAATTTATTATAAACCACGATATTTCAAATTTAATATTATTAAATAATTGACGATGCAACTGTCGTTGCAATGGTTAGGTACTATAACTATATCAACTGACAAATGCCGTAGTATGCCATAATATCGTAGTATAATAGTTTTATCAACATTTTGATTGAAGATTGTAATATTTCCACTTAAAAATTATTTTAATATTTTATAAAATTACGTTTGTCGGACCTGAATCGTGCATACCGCCACCACCATTATTCAAATAGACCTATTTCACCCTGTATTAGTGACCGGTCACAATTATCTTTGGACGGACCAGCAATAAAAATGGAGATAAAATAAAGAAAACTTAGATAAACTAGATTATTTAGTTAATGCACACGTTTTCAGGGTATAATTGTCAAATCATATGTTACTAAAAATATAAATTTATACATAGATAACGGTAGTCATATATAAATAGAATAATTTTTTCTTAGTTTTTAACTTTTTTTTTTTAATGTACTCATTTCCCTTACATTAATTATTATTTGTTAGTATATTTAATTTAACATATCTAATACAATATAATGTGATGATTTTAGTTATAATATAATTTTATTTTTTTTTTCAGTTTCATTCTGTCTTGTCGGTATCGTTCTTCAGCCTTTTGTACATTGGAACCACATTCAACAATTTGTTCATGTCATATATTACAAGTATGTCATCTCGCGATCATGGAGTGTGATTTAAATATTCGGTAGACGTACTGATAGCATTTCTGTCATTTAAATATAAATTAATAATATTATGAATACATACAAAATATATGAGTAGTACGGATTTTTGGTAGTCGCGAGTCGTAATAATRATCCCTTCCAAAAATTWATTTTTGGCTAGTTCTAAATTATTTACACTATTTGTATAATTTTTAATTACTTTCCAWTCATCTACAAGTGTAATGTAAGTATGATTAAAACAAAAAAAATGTGGTAGCAATCAAAATAAAAACATAAGATAAAAATTACGTAAAAATGTATAGGTTATAGGCTAAAATTGAAAAGGAATTCGTTTCATTTTTTATTATTTTTTTTTCTAAAGAATTTATTATTAGTCAATTAGGTATTTTAGTACCTTTCTTAATTCCGAAGTCTGTTATAATCTATGTATTAAAATAATTGTGAGAATAATAAATATAAGCTTTCTCATCATTAATTTATACTGGTTTTGTATAAATTAGTTGATGATATAACATTTTTTAATATTTGAAACTTTTATTCTTGAGTCTTATAAATATATTCTACCCTAATTATGTGTTTACCAACTTTGGGTTTAATGTTTTATGTTAAGTACCTGTAGAGTGCACTCACGAGAAGATCAAATTTAGATACACTTAAGCTCTGACACTGGAAATTATTTTATCACAATAATGTCGGATTTCTACTATACCATCTGTCGTGTAAGGTTGAAATGTTGAATATATTAAACTTATAAGTAATATGTTACTGAAATTTTGTTACCTGCATATTAAATAGGTATACGGAAAATTACACTACCTGGTGTATAGTTTAAATTTGACTTAACAGTAAAATTCCGTTTTTTGTGGATAAAAGAATTTAGTTCCATTTTTTATATTTTTACTATGAAAATTAATTATTCCAAAATGTACTGTTCTTTTAAAAAAATCTTGGTTTCAGGAATTTATTTCTCTCGAAACTCGATCCTTCCAAAGTTCCAAACTCTTTTAATCCGCATAGTTGCATCAACTCTTTAGATACCAACAGCTATAGATAGTCTATATTAAACTATATAATATTATAAAGCTCTTTGCCTACACCTATATCTAAATTACCATTCAAAATAATTGGTTTTTTGTTTCTATAATTTTATTCTAAATCCAGTATATTCCATCCTTTACAGGAATTATTAATTGGTCTATTCTGAAAACTCAATTGTATTGGTATATACCTAGATTACATTAGTGTGGAAAAAATACCGAACTCCTAGACTTCCCGCTAACATAATAAAAACGTTGTCGAAATATTTTAATACTGGCAACTGTTGTCGAGGTGTCATTGTATATAATTGCATTATTATATACATGATATATTAATATATTCCATTAATTACTGGATTGTGATTACTGGTAGTTGATTCTAAAATTGATGTTACATCTATATAGAAATCGAATTGCTAAACTTAACGCAACTTAGATTGACATAATACCTACAAGAAAAAAAAAACTTAATTTACAAGCTGTCGCGGAATACTTAATTTGTCGCACACATAGTAGCAATTTTTAAATACATAATTATATATTTTAGTTTGGAATTTTGAGAAACTTGATAACATTTAACGATAATCAATAACCTGTTAAAAACAAAATATTTTTAACTGATTAGTAATTTATAAACATGATATTATATAGGTACTAGGTAGTGCATTCATAAAACAAGACTTTATTTTTATATCCTTCTCATATTACGTAAAGTTGTTGATAACTATTTGTCTAACATTTAAATGCAGGTACCATATTTTAAATTTAATTATGTACCTACGACAAATCTTCACCAAAATTCTAAATTTTTAAATGAGTTTATTTTTATTTATAATTATTCAAATAACTTGTGTATTGAAATGCGGGCAATACCTCTTTATTTTATTAGTAAATATAAATAAAAATGTAATATGGAAAAAATAATATTAAAACTTACAGGTTTAATCAAATTAGTAGTTTTTTCCACGAACATTTTAAAATTTTCTTGTAGCATTTTCATTATTTCTAAAAATTCCATTAAAATATTTACYATAATACTTTAAACTCACTGCTCATTGACTTTCAAAAGTTTCCACTATATTTATTACAGATATTCGATATCGTTTTATTAAATTAGAATATATAGAACTTTAATTAGAAATAGTCTAGCTGTTACCTATTACCTAACTACTCGTAGAATATCGGATTTCATACCGATGGAGTAAGAGATTTTAAATAATGCTTTTTATCCTTTTCATCTTACCTGAAGATATTTGTTATAAATTATAATTAACACTTCTGATTGTTAGATCTCCAAAAACACATAGATTACTTTCATGACTAGTGCATAAATAATAACTTAGTAATTAATAATAATAAATGTAATTAATAATTAGGTATACTTGTACATCATTTTCTCGAGCACGTTTGCATATAAACTGTCATAATTCYATTAATTCTATGCTGTATAAAAGATTTTCGTGTTATTTTTCTACTGGCCTATTGTTTAATGATCATATTATTATATTAATTATATTAATTGTAATAAATCAATGAAAATGTTTGGGTTTGCAAATACTATAGGTTTCTCTAACTCAACTAATGTATGCATTAAACACCCTTTATATGTCATTAGTCTGATGCTCGACGCTCGAATACGCTACTATTATTTGGTCTCCTCTTAAAATATCTTATATTAATCGATAAAATAAAGTACAAAACAAATTCTTAAAAAATGAGCTTATTTCGTTGTGGTGCAAGCCCATATAAATTAAAATCTTTAACTGAAAGGCGATTTAAATTTAATATAAACTTTAATTATAATCTATTAAATAACGAAATTGATACTTCAGATTTACATTCTAAATTATTATCAGCTGTTTTTTCTATTTATTCAAATCTTTAAACTTTAAAACGAAATTTCATTCCACTAACTATGGAATCGACGCAGCCCCTCTTGATCGCGCTTGCCGCACTATTAATAATTTGTCAAGTATTGATATTTTTTACGATACTTCGCCATCTATAATAATTTAAAAGTTGTATTAATTCATAATTATCTTAACTTTTTCTTGTTACCTAGTTTTATCTCTTTCTACCTTGTTTTCGAATGCATTATTAGAATCTGTACTGTACCTACTTGCACTTTTAATGCGATGATATTTACTCAAATAAATTTATTATTATTGTATAACATATATAACTTTAAAAAAAATCCACCCATATAATCGATACCAAGTAAATAACGTATGCTGAATTGGAAATTATAATAAAATAACTAAAACTGATTATTGAATATTATACGGTTAAGAGTTTCAACATTATATACTAATACTACCTATACCTATTCGATAATAGTTTTTATTTATAATCGATTTTTTTAACGCATACCTAGCATGTTGAGTATTTGGTAAAATATAATATTTCTGTGTATGTTATAAATTATAAAAATAAAACGTAACTGTAACTGTTGGCATATAGGTTAAGAAAAATATAATTATCATATTGTTGTAGGTACCTATATATACTTATCCCGGACTGAACATCTATATATATTTAATAACTGATAATTTATTTTCAAACATATTTCATAATACGAATATGAATTTAATTAAAAATGACAATAAACTAAAATTCAAATAAATTATTAATAAATAAATATTTAAAAAATTGTCTGTTGTCTTTTTTACATTTAATTTAAAAACATATTTTATAGTAATAATATTCTAAGTTTAATAACTAATAACAAGACATTTATTAAATACAGTTTTTTTTTAATATTTAATATCAGAACTAGCAACTGCTCTAAACAAAAAATACGTTTGTGATGTTATTGATTTTGAACTATATTAACTTTAAAATATTCATTAATTTTTTTTTTAAATAGCTGTGTTTTTGGGTTGAGTATAACTCTTTTTCTAACCGATTTTCAATAATTCCTAACAAAATATAGTGCTACTTAATAATTTTCCAATATACTTTATCTAAAAATATATCTGCGATTCTTCGATTTTGCTTACKAAGGAAAAATATCTAGTAGCATGTTATAACTATCATGTATACGAACGACATATTTATTACTGTATTTAAATACCAATTATTTGATTTTATAGCTTTATTTATGAAAAATTAGATATATGTGATAACAACAACTGATACATTTTGTTATACTAGCTGTCTTAAAATGTATCCTTGGCTTATTACTTCCGTTCTATAACATAAGTTTTCTCGTATTGTTATATTCCATAATAACATGTGTTTTCTCACACCTGTGTATTACAAATGTCGTGTTTTTAGAACTTGACTTTCCAAGACAAATCCGTAGACAGGACACACGCCGACGACCGATATACCATACGTTCATGTATTATACCTGTGATAAATTAATAATAGTTCTAAAACAAAATGCGACCGTGTAATAAACATAATAAATAATAATATATTATTATTCAGATATAGTAATAACTAACAAGTAACCATTTGTGTTTTTATTTTTAAGTTTTGGGAATTTTGCTGTTTCCCGGATTCAAAACAAAATCGGAATACATCGAAGATAGTCTACAGAGGTACGCTCATCAGATGCTGTCGGGCCACGACGACGAGACGTCTTCATAAGGCAAACTCCTCAAATCCAATTATATCTATTTAACCAGCTCATTTAACGTTTCAGTGTAAAATAGATTGGTGTATAGAGTTCATTAAATAATTTTTTCGCCTCTTAATTTCCATAGATAAATATAGTTTGGCATATACCCCTACCATTTACAGTAGGTAATATTTTTGTGTGTACGTGTACCTATGTTATGTTAATTATTATAATAATCGTTAACTGCAAAAGAACAATTTGTGAATCATAGAAATCGTGGTTTATAGTGATGATAAACAGATTAAACATTTAAATAATTATATTAATATAATTTTGTAATATAACTACGATAATAATATAGTAATGGAGATAAAAGTTTTTTTTTTTTTTTTTAAATAATTATTTATGTTTTACATGCAGTGTTTTTCGCGTTCATGATACAAACTTAACAATAGGACGGTCGTTGTTTAATACATACAAACGACTAACGAGATATTATATATCTATTTTGCAGCGTGTTTTTATTTTTATTTATTGAAGAGATTCGAACTGAACTGTTGTTAGTAAATTAAGTACAATGGCTTGAGTGACTTGTGGGAAGAACCAGCCAGTGAAAGCACTTCTTCGAGAATTTACGAATTGTCAGGTTTATTCATATGTTTAATTTATAAGATGCACGGGGCCACTGTCACTCGAGTCTTCTGGATAAATTTCATGGAATGAAGCTAGAGTAGTTTTTATACTATAAAGTAGCTTTTTAACATGAGGATTGATATGATTTTGAAAGCTATTTCTAAATTTAAAATAGTATAGCTTATAGCTGTATCGAACTTTAAGAATGTGAAGAGTGTGATTTGAGATAAAGGAAGAGCCATTAGTTTAGTTATGAGTCTGAGGGTTTTTGATCGGAGCATTTGTTTTTTTTGTGTATTTGATATTTTGGCAGTGTTTCTGAGCTGAATACCGTACAGCCAGATAGGCTAAAGAAGAAAGTTATAGAATTTTGGTTTTGAAGGATAGTTTTGAGAACTTACTGAGAATGGGTCTGAGAGTATAGAATCATTGGTTTCATTTTAATTCCGTTATGTAAATACTAAATGTGTTTAACCCATATTATGGACGTTTGTCGAAGGTTAGACCTTGATAWTTGTCTGTGTCGAAGTTTAGTATAGGTTTGTTGTTTATATGTACCGTGAGAAGTTGTCTGAGGGCAAAGGTAGTGTGTACAAATTTGTTGTTTTCACTAATTTTGACGCGYCAGAGGGAGTACCAAAGTGATAGATCATTCAGGTAGCTTTGGAGGGAAGATTGAACCAASTCAGGATCGGTGAGGGTGGAATAAATTGCTTTKTCGTTGGCGTACTCGGCTATTTTAATATTCGGATTGGGAGTTGGTCAGACGAGTAGAACTGCAGAACATTTTTTATACAAATCTTACATTATAACTACGTGATATGGATTTTWAAAAAGGGTTTGGATTCCTATAGTCGTGTTGTCTTCTTTTCATACGAACGGCTTTCAAACAAATTTTGTACAAATGCTTGTACCTATACCCACATTTGTTTATTCTATGTACACGCTTCTTCAGACGAATCAATGAAAAAAGTTGAATAGTATGATTTGGGGCATTCAGCAGCTCCTCTTCCTTAAATTTTACATGTAAAAGGATAGGCACCTCAGTATAGGCAATTTCAGTACATGCACCTCCCAAACTTGTATGAATTACTCAATATAGGCAACCATTGGCGTAGCCAGGGGGGCTGAGGGGGCTGCAGCCCCCCCCCCGAAATGTTAATAAAATTTAAAAATTATTTCAATGGTCTACAATATTCACTCAAAAAGTCTTAAATTGTATTTTACTAATTTTAAATTGTCATCTTTAT